AAACTTAGATTATTCTTAGAATCTGCAAGATATTATAGAGATATTATAGAAAATTTATCAAAGAATTCTTATAAATAATAATATTCTTATTTAAATTTTTAAAGAATAATATTATTTTTATTTAAATAATAAATTAAGAAAATATATTTCAAACTTTGAAAAAAAAACTTATCTCTATTTTAATCTTAATTTATTTTAACTTTATAAAGAAATTTTATCTATATACTAATATATTTGACTCCAAGCTTGATAAATATTATTTCAAAAAGATAATAAAAAAATAAAATAAGTAGTAGTATATGTAAATATTTTACTAAAGTTAGCAGAAAAGAATTATAATATTATTGAAAAATAAGCTCTAACTATAGTTTGAGCTATTAAATAATTTCAATATTATTTTTTTGAATTTCTTCTTAAAATTATTACTGATTATAATATACTTTGATAACTATTTATTAAATAAATTAATTTTAGATTTTAAATCTCTTATTAAATAATAATTATAATGAAATATAATTTTATTATTATTTATAGAACTGGAAAAACTAACTAAAGTATAAATATTCTCTCAAGAATATATTCTTAAGAGTAAAAAGATAAACTTATTAATTAAATAAATTATTTGAAATAATATTTACTAAATAATTAATTAAATAGATTATATAGATTATTCAAATTTAATTAACTTAATATAATAAATTTAATAATATATTATAATGTAATAAGATATCTAGAAAATAAAAGTTATTTTATAAGATATATTAAAGAATAATAAAAGAAAGTTTATTAATAATTAAAATACTTTTTAATAATTAATAAAATATTTTATAAGAAAAATAAAAGAAAAGAATCTATTATAATCACTTTAAATACTAAAAAAAATAAAATTAAAGTAATAATAACTAGAATATATTTAACTTATCAATAAGTAGCTATTAGATATTAATAAAATAGAATAGAAATAAATATAAAGAATTTTTTTAAATCTTATAAAATCTATCAAAAAACTAATAGATAAATTACAAAATAATTTTTATTAAAATTAGATAATCTTTTAATAAAATTATAATTAATCTAGTTAAATCTTATAAAGTAATTAGAAAATAAAATTAATATATTATTATAATAATTATTTTATTAATCAAATAGCTTAAAATAAAAATAATTTCAAATAAAAAAATTAGTATAATTATCAAATTTATTTTTAATGAGATAATTTATAGACATAAATATTCTAAAGAATTATAATTTAATCAAGAAATTAAATTTATATTACAAATAATTGAAGAACTTATTACTTAATTTGGAATTAAATACAAGTTTTTATTATCTTACTATCTATAAATAGAATAGTAAAATAATTTAATAAAACTTTATGTAAAATACTTTAAAATATTATAAAATAATAAATTGAATATTTTCTCTTATTTACTACTTATCCAGTAAAATCAATATAATATAAAATTGAATTTAAAAATAGTAGTAACAAATAAAAGAAAATATAACTTATAGTTATAAAGAATCATATATTTTAATATTAATAATAAAGTTTTATTATTTAATATAAAGCAATATATTACTTGCATAAATAAATTTCAGTTATAATAGAGTATAAAATAGTTTTATATATATAAAACTCTTGATAATAAAGCTTATAGATTATATAATTAATATAATCAATTATTATATAAACTTTTAATAGTATCTAGCTGAAATGTTACTTTAATAAAATAATTATCTTGAATCAAGAATAATTATTGAATATATAGAAATATCAGCAACAGAAAAAAAAATGAATATTAGATTTTTAGTTACATAATGTTTATTTATTTATCTCTTAATTTTACATAAATTTTATTTAGTAATATATATATATATACATATATATTCTTTTTTTAAAATTTTTTTTATAAATACTGGATTTTCTTTTTGATATTTTTCTTTAATTTTTATTATCTTTTATTATTTTTATATTCTTATTTTTAGTTTAGTTTTATTATTAGTTATTAACTTATTTATAATAAATATTCTTCTTAATTATTTTGATTTTATTCAAAGTATCTTTACTCTTCATCAATAACTTAAGAATAATAATCTCTATAATTTAATAAAGACTAGTTAATATTTGAGAATAATAATCAAAATTTTTTATAATCTTAATATTAAAAAATAACTCAACTCTAGTTTAGTTATAGAGATATTTTGAGAACTGGAACTAATTATAGGAGAAATCTTGGATTAATTAAATGAATTATAAGATGATATAAGTGTAAAATAAATTATAGATATTTTCAATATTGAAGTTTCAAAAATAGCAATTATAACTAATATTAATCATCAATTTTGATCTAATCAAAACTGAAAGACAGGAGTTTAAATAATCTTTAATGATCTATTTTAAAATAGAAATAATTAATCTGATAAATCACAATTCATTAGATATTATTATTTTGAATAATTATTAAAAGAAATATCAATATCAAAATATGGATTTAAAAAGGTATATAACCTCTAACAAATTACTTATAATGATCTTGTATATATCCAAAATAATGAAATCAAAGAAATTTTGAAAAGAATTTAACCAATCTTAATCTTTGGTAATAAAAATTCGCATTTCCAATGAGAAATTTGGGAACACAAAAACTCATGTAACACAAATATCTTATTGGCCGAAAATAACGATGATGTCTCACAAAGCAACATCTTTTTAAAATCAACTCCGATCAATGCCTACCGCTACTATTTGATAGTCATTTATACATGTAGATTTCTTACTATGAAAACAAAAAATAAAGATGACTGAAACTAATGTGTATTTGTTAAATTTATCAGATATTTTCGCTTTAGTTAAGATTTGTACCATCACTTTTCTTGGATGGTATTTAGTTAATGTATTTATCTAATTTTACTTTTTGTAATCAATTTTAATTTATTATTAATTTCGTGAATCTCACAGTCATTTTATGTAGCCTTTCTGGGACCATTAAGTAAAATCCCAGGTCGAAAAAGGGATGCATTTGCTCTTTGGTTGTCGTTGCCAACGATTCTAACGGGGAAAATGTGATGCTTTATTAAAACGATGCTTTATTTATATTGAAATTACATGTATTAATTTTTTTTTACAACAATAGATGGCTAAAGCATGCTTTGTTTCATGCCAAATTCGGACCAATTATCCGAGTTGGTGGGAGTAATTGTTTTCTTGTAAACATTAAATGATTGTAAATAAACACAGTATATTTATAATCTGTTCTGGTAAAGGCCCCAACTTTATTTTCGTTGGTGATCGTGATGCTGTAAAAAAGGTAGTATTTCAACAATTTATTTGATATTTCTCATTGAGAATTGTTCTCAATTATTTTTACCTGCAAAAGATTATAATTACAGAGGTAAGTAATGGATGAGAATGGGTTTCATTTATTTTTCTATATTAATAACTACCTGAAATTATTTAGGATTTTCCAAAATCTCAAGTCTATAAGTATTTTCGACGCAAAAGAGATGAAGAAACATTATTTGCTGGAATGTGAGTAAAGTTTTATCAATTACCAATTAAATTCATATTCATCATTAAAGATAATTTGAACTTATTTAGTGATAAAGAATCTCATAAACCTCGTGTAAGTACATGCGTACTAGTTATGATTTATTAACTGCGTAATTCAAAATGTTAATAATTTTGTTTACTCAGCGAAGAATGTTATCGCCTGCATTCTCTGTAAAATATCTGGCATCGCTTGAACCTCTTATCAAACATTGCTTTCGTGATGTGATTATTGCTATTGACCATTTAATAAACGATTCATCGATGGAAGTAAATGGCCGAAAAGCAGCTATTATACAGTAAATATATTTCAAATGATTCAAAATTGTTCTTTGGTAATTAAAGTTTTTTCTTTACTGAATTCTGCATTATCCCTTCTTATGTATAACTTATCTGTTTCTAGGACGTTATTGGAGAAACGGCATTTGGTGGAAAATTTGATATGGTGTTGACTAATAAACACCCGATTCCTGATGAAGTTCGGTTTTATCTAAGACGTATGGTGATGGTGAGTTTTCATTATCAATTATTGCATTTATATACTGTATGTACGTACCTATTGTGAGTATGTGACAACAAAATTTCAAAGGGTTCTTTTGTACCACCTGTACAATGGTTTATACGAGAGAGAAAGTATCTGGAAGAGGTATTTATCATGTATCATAATTATTATAAATATAATTAATATTAAGTATTTTAATATAAAATAGTTTGTAATTAAACTCGCGAAGACAAGACGTCAACAAAATACAAACGAAGTAAAAAAAGATATCCTTCAAATACTGCTCGATGCCGTGGATGATGATAATACTGGTTTAACTGATAATGAAATTTTGGGGCAGCTTGTAGAGTTTTTGTATGTAAATAATCTTTAATTTATTGTTTGTATTATTAATATCTAATAATCAATTTATCTTTTTAAAAACCATAGGATTGCTGGAAGTGATACCACAGGTTTCAGCACCTCGCTTGCAATGATCCTTTTATCACAACACCAAAAAGTCCTCGAAAAATTATTTCAAGAAATTCGTGCTGCGATTCCTGAAATAGGCCCAGATAATTTGCCAAATTATGCGTTGTTAAAAGAGTTACCTTATTTAAGCGCGGTCATAAATGAGACAATGAGATTATGGCCTGTTTCATTGGGTGATTTTTCATGGTTTAACTTCTTGATTGTATGCGTTTTTTCCTTAGTTTTTAATACCTTATCTTTATTGTAGATGGACGTGAGTAGATCGTTATAATAATGTGGTTTTATATTTCTTTTAATATACATGTATTTACTTTATTTTTCTTCATTGCCATAGTAACTGTCAGAGAATTAACTAAGGACATGATCATTGGACAATATCGTGTACCAGCAGGAGTGAGTAAAATCTTGAGTTATTAATTATCATTTAATGTGCAAAAATATTTTTTTATAAAAATGTATAGATACTGATGTTAATTGGTGTTATAGACAGAAGTTATCCCTAACGCTTATTATCTACACACCGATAAAGACCTTTGGGGCTCAGACGCACTAGAATTTGTGCCTGAACGATGGCTCGTCCCAGAGAGAATTCCAAAGGATGCTTTCTATCCATTTTCAGCTGGTTAGTATTAGTAATTATTGTTTATTTATTGTTTATATAATCTTATGATTTTGCGTATGAATTCACACCTATAGGATCAAGAAGTTGTATTGGACAAAAGTGGGGCATTTATTTCGGTAACTTTGACCAAAGCGATAATATGCAATATGCTAATTAAACTCTACATTCTAAATTAGGTTTGCATTGCTTGAAATGCACCTAATAATTGCTTCACTTGTTCGTCGTTATAAATTTACTGATATCCCGGGACAACCATTTGATATCAGTTACTTTCTTACACCGGCGTTCACTAATCGCCAGTATAATATCTTGATGAATTTGAGAAATCAGGATTGTGAATAATTGCTGAAAACAAACACATTTTCATTAGAAACTGACAAGTGTTGTTTTTGCGAGTTTTTATATGATTTTTACGATCACATGATCTTTAAAAAAGAAAAATATAATTTTAAGAATGAATTTAATTTTCTTATGGTTTAGCGATGGTTTCTATGTTTAATTTTGATTCGCTAGCATTGGATAACAAATCCTTGTTTATCCGTCGAAAACCATGTTCGCACACTCTTAAACAACCCGGAATTAAAGCGTTGGCCATCATGTGACCCAAGGGTACGCAAATTTTGATAAAACAGCAAAATGACACAATATGGAAAAATGAATTTTAGCAAAAAAAAAAAAGAAAATCAATGTCTAAATCTGTCTTGGAATACTAATTAAAAATGTCGAGATAGCAGTTTCCCACATAATCTTGTCCTCTACTCTAGCCCTACCTATAAATTATTAAAAACTATTAATAGAGTGCGAGGTATTGATCACATGACAGAATATGCTTTAAAGTTCTTTAGTTTTAGCGTTAGCGTTAGATATCGATATTAACATAAATTAGGTGATTTTTGGGATTAAAAATTTAGATGAATACAACTTACTTTTAAATATTTTAATTGATCTTTCTTCATTGCTAACAAAAATGTTTTGCAAAATCTTACTACATGTATATGTAGAATGCTGATTCTGACTTCGCAATAAGTAACTATTGCGAGCCTGACAAACCGCTAAGCTCTTTGATAAGGCAACGGATTAAAGAGAACAGTGAACATGCTGGCACCTTAAATCAGAGAATAATTCAATTTTTGGATTTGTAAATCCCACGATACTTTGCAAAACCTCAAACAAGTCGTTCCATGTTATGCTATGTTTTAATCAAACTTTAACATTTATCTCTCGTTCGAAGGTTTAGTAATAAAGTGACTTAAGCGAACTCATGCACAGTCACACATGATATTCCAAATCCATTATAAACTATTCGATTGCCTTACCTAATTACTCGAGCATTCTCAGGAAGAAAATAAAAATCTCTTTATTTTTAATTATATTAGTCAGCGCTTTCGTGCTTATCATACTGATGACAATAAATTTTATAATGCATGATGATACGGATAGCTCAAATGTATTCTTCAACAATTTCAATGATAATGAAAATAAGAATATAGGGAACCTAAATGGAAAATATGTTAGTGAAATAGACATTGGACTAAATAAATGTAAGGAACAGACGATGGACAAAATGATTACAAAAACAACGGGAAGTGGGATTCATTAATGGATATAATATCGAATGTATTAATGCGCAAATTCATTGACACAAAGAACACCAGTCTAAGCAATAATTTAAACGATAATGGAAACAATAACACCAGAAATGTAAATGGAAATTACGTCGGTGAGATAAACATTAGTGACAATACCATCAAACGGTGCAATCGAACTGAAAGTAGCGAATATAACTTCAATGATAACAGAAATGGCAAACATATTAAATACGTAAATCTAAATGGGCTGGCAAGAAGTGATAATTCTTTGAATTAAGACCTTAAGTAGAAATAATTTGGTAATGTCATCAATGTTGACCCTTAGATAGATTAATGCTTAGGTTCTCATTGTTGTGCATAGAGAATTGAATTTTATATAATATCTTTTGATTGCGAACAAGCACAATAAAACAATAGATATTTTGTAAAGCTAGATTTGTAACAAGAAACATGTAATTGCAAATGATCAGATAGAAAATAATTACAAATTGGTTTGGTTGTCCTCTAAAGTTTCAAATATTTTCATTCTCTATTTTTTAATCTTCTTGATAATAATATTGAATGATTATTGGTTTATTCCGATGTTTTCTATTTTAAGAATAACTTCCTTTCAGGATGTCAATAATCTATTGAATTCTCAATAAACAAGATCATAAGTAGTGGAAAACATCTATCCTTCTCAAAATAATAAAAAATTTATCTAAATTTAATAAAGACTTCACCTTAACTTCGCAGCAGAGTGAATAACGCAAATTTCAAGAGGGAAATGTTCATGTATATTGATATAGTATTGTAAAAAAATTTCAAATCTTGTACATGGATTCTAAGATCTTTATAACTATTTAGCATTTCTTTAATAATATAGACTTAAATAATTATTAAGATGAATATTTTACAAATGAGAAGATGTATTCCTAATATAACAAAAAAAGCCAATCTGCTCAAATCAGTTGAATATTTACTAGAAAATTAATTTCAATTATAAATAATATTATTATTTATTTGTATTGCTCTAAATGAAGGTATAATCATTATTATTATTACAAAAGTGATTATACAATACTCTTGAAACCAAATTAAAAATAAAGTTGAGTTACAGTTTGATATCTATTTTATTACTAATTTTTTAATATTATTTCAAACGCATCAGATAGTAGATTTTTAGCCACAAAAATCATAATTACTTTTTATTCTCACATAAATTATCTATACAAAACTATAAATATTTGTAGCATTAGTGATCATATATAAAGAAGTACTTTACAAATTTATTTGTTAGATTTTTCTATATCGATATTTGTTAGAAAGCTGAGTTTCACAATAAATAATTTGAGATGTATAATAATCATAATATTCCAGGATGTGAATTCATGATATATTGTATATACTTCCTTTGTGAAGGCTTTCAGATTGTCAAATAGAATATATAACAATTCTGTCTTTTCGTTCATTATCTGCATAAGTCATTATTACTGAGTGCATATATGCATTTGTTTCAGTATTGGCTTATAACCCTGATATATGATTTAAATTAAATTCACATGAAAAATAGATTATGTCCATAAAATTTGCCAATTCTGGGGTTTTAGCCATTTCACAATAATTAATATCTGCATTTAAGAGCATTCTGAGTCTATTATTAAAAATATGTCACTTTAGAAAAATTCATTTTTTTACTGATTTCTAAACTCAGGAATATTTTATGTACAGTAGTAATTAAATATTTTGCACTACCTGATCAGCAAACTTCACGATTCAATAATTTTTTAAGTAAATAATGAATAATAATAGTTTTTTTCAATTTGATTTATTAAATCCTAAGTAACATGAAACTATCTTTATTTACTTTATTTATTAAGCAAAAACTCGAAAAAATAAAAACATTTTCTATTTTTTGCGATGCATTTCTTTTGCTTATTTATACAAAATGTAAAATTTTGAAAAAATAAAATGATCTAATTTTTTTTAAAAAAAATTATCATTCACCATTCAGTGTATTCTCCCTTTGCATTATAAACATCAATAATATGTTGAGGCATACTTTCAATAAGACTATTTAGATAGTTTATATCCATATCAATCCAAACTTATTGAATAACCTCCCAAAGTTGATCTGGATTAACAATTACTACGGATGAATATCATATTTAATGATTGATCTCATTCCAAAGATGTTCTATTGGGTTTAGGTCAGGCAAATATGATGGCCACTCGAGTTTCTCTATATCATTATGATATAATCATTCTTTAGTTTCAGTTGCAGTATGTTTGGCATCATTATCTTGCTGAAAAATAATATTATTTTTATTTATTCCATGCCATCTGATTGTTCCTAATAGGTCATCAGTTAATATTTGCCTGTATAAATCTCCATCCATTATTCTAAAAATATGTATGATATTACCAACCCCAAAAAAAGAAAAACACCCCCATACCATTATACTATCACCTCCAAATTTTTTTGTAGGGATTACATTTCACTCATTAAATAGTTCATTAGGCCATTTCCAATAGTATTGACATCTGTTGGAGCTAAATATCTTGAATTTGGACTCATCGGATCAAATTACATGATGCCAATTCTCAATTTCTCAAGCCTTATATTCTTTAGAAAAATTGTAATGAGCATTATGAGCTTTTTTATCCAGAATGGGTTTCTTTCGCTTGATCTGGGAAGATAATTCATTTCTTCTTAATATGCATTTTACAATATCTGCACTTACTTCAATTTTTTCATAGACTTTCAGGTTTTTTTAAATTTTTACTGCATTAGAACATTCATTATTTACTAGTAACCATATAATACTACGCTCATGACATGATGTAAATATTCTGGGACACCCTAATTTTGGTAAATCTTCAACAGTACCAGTTTCTTTGACCTTTTGACATATCTGAACCACAGAAGACTGTGCTATATTTTCTTTTTCTGCAATAATACGGATAGGGTAACCTTCTTAAATTAGTATGATTATACGTGTACATTTTTTCTTGGAAATATGGACCATAATTTTTATTTATAAGTAGGTGGCTATCAAAATAAAAAGTGCAAAAAAAAATATATGACTTTCACTAGTAAAAATTTTTTATTTGTAAAAAAATTTGGGGAGTAGCTTATGCTATAATTTTTTATTATATAAATGATCATATGATTTGCATCACTACTTTTGGAAATATGTGAACAGAAAAACCAGAATTTTACATAATATTGCATGTCAAAGATTATTTATTATATCTGTGCTACTGTACTTTCAAATCATTTATTTTTTTTGTACTTTACTATCTATAGATCACGAGATATTATGATTTTTTTTGTAATCCAGGTAATGCAAAACATTTGATCGTCACTGTAAATGATTTCGATTGCTTTAAAGATGAATATATATAATAATTTAATTAGATCAGATACAATAAATAAAATAATTTCAATTTTGCTATTCTAAAATTTAAAAAATAAAAAGAAAATATTTCAACATTAATTTGAATAAATTTTTTCAAAATTAAAAGATTCTATCATTTCTTGAGCTCAATCATCTTTAGCCTTTTGATACCATATTAAAGCTAAATCAAGATTTTTTGAAACTCTTATTCCATATTGATAAAATTTACTAACGTTTGAATTGAGTTTTATTATGTTCAGTATCTGCTTGCTCTTAAATACTAATTAAATATTTTATTATCATTTTTAACAGTTCTTTCTTCATATTTATAATACTATCCAAGTCTGAAATATGATTGAAAAATATCATTTTC